CTTTCCCTCTCTCTGTCTCTGTCTCTGGTGAACACACATGCCCTGAAGTAAAATTTTTAAAAAGAAAAAACAGAAAGGGCTGTCCCAGATAAGTGTGAGCATTTGTGGTTCGTATGATCACATCCTCAGAGAGGTCCCTCCCATTCCCCTGGGCCCCTGTGGTCCCAGGAGAGGGCACTCCCAGTAGAAATGAACGAGTTCTGTCCGCCAGCAGCGTGGGATTGCCCGCCTCATACCCCGAGCTGCTTACACGCGTGTTTTCTCTTTCCAGGGTCTACGAAGAATAGGGTGAGACACTCTGGTGGGAAACTCCAGGCCAGTTGGGAGACTTGAGCAAAGGACTTTGCAGATTCAAAACAAAATCTTTCTTTCTCACAGACGTAAGACACAAACTATATATTGTTACAAAGCACTTTTTATCAAGGGTCAGTTTTTACGTTTTATAGCTGTGCGGAAAGGCTTCCAGATGTAAGACCCATCTCACTTGTGCTCCAGACTTCATCGCAGGCTGCTTTTTACAGAAAAGGGGGAAACTCATGCCTTTCCTTTTTAAAAACTGCTTTTTTGTATTTGTCCATATGTCACTACGCATCTGAGCTTTATAAGCGCCTGGGAGGAACACTGATTGTGGTGGAAAGGTTTCATTGCAGCGTTGCTGCGTTCCTAGCTTGGGAAGCTCCTGCTCAAGGGTCCTGGCGCCTCGGCACAGCTGCCTCAGGCTCTCCTGGGCTTGCGTTCAGTGCCAGCTTCAGTGTGACCCCACAGCGGCCCCCCACTGCTGGGCAACCAGAAGCAGGTCTCTGCATCTGTTCTTTGAGGAACTCGAGTTTGGTTGCAGAGAATGTGCTTCATTCCCCCTGGTTAATCTTTATACGCTAGGAAATAGTCCCAAGAGCCTGGGAGGGCGATGCGAAGGACCCTAAAGAAGGTGTTAGGTCTTTTCTTCAACTCGAGGGTTTCTGGAATGTTCACTGTGTCGATACTTAATGCATCAGAAGTAGATGAGCTCCCCACTCCATCAACAAAAACGTTAGGAGAACAGTTCAATATAGATGAGCACATGCACAATACACAGGAACAGACACACATTCGGCTGACAAGGGAAAACCTTCACAGCATGTTCCTTTCCCTCACCACGACAGAACATGCGGTCCTGAGGCAATCTGTTTGTGATTCCCTGTGTAATTCTTCAATGTGGAGCCCTCTTCTGAAAGCTAGGACCACCGCGCCCCTCCCCTGTACATACGCTCCCAAGAGCAGCCCTCCACACGCTGCCCCCATGTACGCCACGTCACTGCTGTGTGATATGCTCTGTAAGTGTCCGAAACCATTAGCGTTGCATGCAGGTTTCATATTCTTTCTAAGACAAAAAGAAAAGTAATAAAATATATTTGAAATGTACCAAAACTCTAGGCTACTGACTTTTTAAAAAAAATATTTAATTAAGCTAGGATAACAATAAAACGTTTACCATGTCTTGAATAAATGGGGACAAAGGTACTAGAAAGGAAAATGGGTGTTCCCCAAATTCCTGCCAGCACCATCGCCTCTAGGGAATGTGAGGGCTGTCCTTACCCAAAAGCCAGAGGGCCAGGCCTCGAGGCTAATGCTCTTCCCGGCTGGACGCTCACACATGCTTGCAGCAGACTGGCATCACGTGTGGGACCGGAGAGTGTCCAGTAAGAGAAGAGAGGAGGTGAGACCAGTCAGGAAGCGCTGGTGCTCACAGGTGCTCAGGGAAGTGCGTGGAGCTCCAGGCCCCGGCTGTGCTGTCCAGGGAAAGGCTGAGGCCCCATTTCTGCTGCTGCAGGACGGGCACGATGAGGGTGCACATCACATGGTGCTTCTGGGGACCGAGCAGGTAACCCACGGAAAGCACCTAGGATGCCGGGGCGTGGTGGACACTCGGTCAAGGGGAGCTATTTTAATATTCATAAGACTGGGCCACTTTGCACAAATTGCCCACAGCCCTGCCTCTCACGGGATCCTAAGTCAGCCAGTTCCTCAGACGGGCCCTTCTGACCCTGTCGTGGGTGCCCCCCACCCAGCAGTCTGCTCCGGGGGACATGCTTCACCCAGAGCCAAGAGTGTCACCCACATCCCCTTCACGTACTCAGACAGCCTTGCGACATGCTGGCTCTGCCCCCTGGTCCCGTGCTTACAAGGGCTCATAAGAAGTGTCCACCCTGACATGTCCCCACAGGCTGCCACTGCAAACCCTTCTTATCCCAGGCTCATTTACTCCCTGCAGCTCCAGGTTATACTGCGTATATTCCTGAGGGAACTAAGGGGTTAGACAAGAGGGGTTAAGAAAGTTCCTGGGGATCACAGAGGGCTCTTTGCACTCACCACGCTCCCCAGTGGCTGGGCTGGCAGCCTCTGCTGAAGGACAAGTGGGGGTGGACTGAGGCCACACTGGGCCGGATGTGACGAATACCCAGGGTTGGTCCCCTCTTGCCCTTCATAGCCAAGGAAGAATGTAGACTGGACAGGGACACCCAGAGACCCACAAATGGAACAGCAGGAGAGCCCTGGCAAGATGGCACATGCCCGGCAGCTGGGAGCAGAGGTTGGCCTCTTCCCGGGAGCCCTGCCTGACCCTGCAGGAGCCAGAGCAGCCCCGTGGGGCCTCACAAAAGAGGCACTAGTGTGAAAAAGGAGCTGAAAGGACACCTCCCAACGCAGAGGCCGCTCCTGCCCCTTGCTCCAGCACACCGCACTCCCAGCACGGCCTGCTCCTCCTGCGGTGGCTCCAGTGCCAGCACACCCCTTCCTGCCCTGCAGCCCAGGCTCTCTCCCTTCTCTGACTTCCCTAATCAGACCGGATTATGAACCACAGCCACAACGCAGCCAGATGGAGGCCGGCCTCCAGCTGGTACCCCCTGCATGCCCTCACACAGTGCAGTGTGGCACGATTTGTTTAGGTAAGGAAAGGAAGGGCAGAATTGCAGTCCCCAGCTGTCCAAGCACAGATGGGGAGAGATGCTGTGGGCGAACACCTCCATTTCTACAGAGCCGGTGTGTCCTCAGAGAACAGAGGCTGGGCTCTGGACCATGCAAGGCTCGGGCCCTTTCTGCCACCCCTGAGGTTTGAGAATGACTGCTAAGAAGGCCTGTGAGCCCTAACACTTCACCCAACACCAAGGAAGGGCCCACTGGTGCCAAGAACAATCCCTTTTTCTGCAGCTGCAGAGTTTTTCTCAGGGCTCCCTGGGCACCCTGTGAGGTGTCCGCCCGCCACATTCCAGAGAAGACAGGAATTCTAGTGCAGCAAAGCAAGGTTGTTGACCTTTCCAGCGGGCTTCCTGGGGAGGGGCGAGCTGGCCCCTCTGTACACAGGGCAGACCTGGCCCAGGTGCAGGCCCCCCGAAGGAGCCACCACTTCCTCAGATAGGCAGGCTTCAGGCCCCAAATGCCAGGCCCTCCTCTGAGTAACCCCACCACGGAGTTTCTCCACGGCATAAAAAATGATACAGGCCTTTCTGTTCAAAGATTGTGGTGAGCTTCAAGATGGCAGCAGCAGAGTCTTAAGCCAAGCATGGGGCCCTTTCCAGCACAAGCCCTGTGTAACACACCGGTCCCAAGCCACGAAGCCCACCCTGCCCCTGGTATTAACTCTTACACCGGAGGAATGACTCCTTTTGGCTCTGAACTCTTACACGATTCGCATTACAATGAACAACTATGAGGCCAGCACTGTAGTGCAGCAGTTAAGCCCTCTGCATAGGGAACTGGCTCCACATGGCCAACCAAGGTTCAAATCCCAATTCTGGTTCCTTGAAAAACACACTAGGCATGTGTGCATACAGGCCCCAAATCCTGACGGGCTAGAGAGGTGGAGAGAAAAGGATTTCAGCGTGACCATACCAGTGGGAGGGCCTTTCTTTCTCTCCCTCTCACTCTCTGCCTCTTTCTTTCACATATACAGGCAAATGCACCTGCTGGCAATAAATATGTGTGTGTGTTTATATTTATATTTATATTTATATTTATATTTATATTTATATTTATATTTATATTTATATTTATATTTATATTTATATTTATATTTATATTTATATTTATATTTATATTTATATTTATATTTATATTTATATTTATATTTATATTTATATTTATATTTATATTTATATTTATATTTATATTTAT